ACCCCTCAAGCTCTTCTCTGTCTGTGATGATGCTGGCAATTGGCCTAGTCTGTATGTGGACTGGATTTTATGAGGTGGAATGTAGCATCAGGATTCGTGGAAGACACATAACCTTTGATATGCAGATGACACAACCTTGCTTGCTGAAACAGAGGGGGACCTGAAGCATTTGCGGCAGAAGGTCGAAGACTGTAGCGTAGCCTTCAATATGTATTGAAGCTCAACATCAAGAAAACAAAAATTTGCACCACTGGGCCAATTGGCATCATCATGACAAATGGAAAAGAGATCATTAATCCTGTTAGAACACAATAAAAACTTGTTGGAGAGCTCTGATGGCCTAGTGGTAAGAAGCTGCACTGCAATCCCAGAGGTGCACAGTTCAAATCCACCAGCTGCTCTGGAGAAGGAGGGGCAATCTCTTCCTGTACAAGTCAGATCTGACTTGACGGTATACACACATAAAATAATAAAATAAAAAACGTGAAAAAAAACCCCAACAAACGTAACTCCTGTTATAAGCAACTAATAACTCAGGCATCTTGAAGCAGCAAGCATAGAAGTCAGCAATATTTCTTTCATACTTTGAGATTTGAGGTCAAGAATTAAGGGGATAATAGCGGATCTAGGGAGTTCTGATGACCTAGTGGTAAAGAATTGTGTTGCCAACCCCGAGGCTCTTGGTTTGAATCCATCAGCTGCTCCATGGCAGAAAGATGCGCATGCTCTTCCCATGTGATTAACTGCCTCTGAAAACTCACTGGAGGGTTAGCTATGAGTCGGTTCTGACTTGATAGTACTCAATAACAGCATGGCATTGTGAAAAGCTTTTTAAGGCTCTGTGTGTGATTTTCTCCCTTACTCCTACTCCCCACACACATCATGCTCTGACTTGTTCCTTTTACTCTAACACTTGCTCACTCTGTACTGACCAAAGTAACATCCTCGTTCTCTAAGTATACTAGATATGTTTCCCTTTGATGTCATTGCACTAGATACTTGTTACCTGGAATGTTTCACCTGGATAGATCTGTTGCTAACTACTTCTTGCTTACATGTTACCTCAGAACATAGGCTTGACCAACGTAGGTAGAATTAACCCTCCACAGTTGTTCCTTTTACTTAACATCTTTTTTTTTTTTTTACTTAACATCTTTTACTGTGTAGAAGTCTCAGGATGGCACAGTGGTTTTTTATGGAGCATAGTTTTAATTAATGGCAACTGGTATGGGCAACATATATGACTTAATATTGCTTCTTTTCTGTTATGCTCCCAATAGAGTATAACCTTACAGGTGCAATGATTTTTTTTTCTCTTTTTGTTCTGTCTGATAATTTAGAACAGTGCCTAACTCATAGGCACTACAGAAATATTTGTTGACAAATTTATAGAGTTTTTTCTGTGGCCTAAGTGTCACACAGAGTACTCTTATTTATCTGTATGAATAGAGTTGCTATTGAGTTGATTCCAATTCATAGTGAATGATCCTCCATTGGGTTTCCAAGGGTATAAATCTTTATAAGATACTGCCCATCTTTCTCCCTTGGAGTAGCTGATAGTTTAACCTCTGACTTTTAGGTTAACAGTCTAACGTTAAATTCTATGCCACTAAAGTGATTTTTTTAATGCACATACATATACATATACATAATAAAATTCTTATGATTGCTTAGTGAATAACTGATATATAAGAAAATGAATGCAGAGATGTGACTTTACGGTAGTCACAAAACTAGGAATTGGTGGATCTGGATTTAGTATCAAATCTACAGTTTCAAATTCGTTCCTTTCCCAGTAGCTGTGAGTTAGTGGAAAGAACACTTCAGCTCCAATTTGTGTGACACTTATGCTGACACAGTATCTGCAACAATGGGCTTAAACATAGCAGTGATTGAGAGGCTGGCAAAGGACCAGGCAGTGTTTTTTTTCTGTTGTATGTAGGATCACTATGAGTCTGGAACTAACTGTCATATCTAACAATAACAGCTACTGTCCCAAAGCATTTCCAGTTAGAATTTGGCTTTCACTGAAGCTCTGGTGTTGGTCCAGTTACTCAGTGTTGAGGTTGTTGTTGTATACCATCTAGGTGAAACTGACCCATAGCCAATCCTCCAGCAGATTTTCAGGGGCCATTAATTTCACAGGAAGAGATTGGCATCCTTCTCCCTTGGAGCAGCTGGGTGCAGCACAGGTTGTTGCCACTAGAGTTCCAGTGTTGAGGTCGAGAGGATTTATTTATCTTTATTGTTACCAATTCATCAAACGTTCTTTGCTTATAATTCTGGGAAAACTGATTTTTAAAACAATTGCTATTAAAAAATTGTGCAGTGATGCTATATGAGATGCCTTATATTAATTGTTTTATTTACTTTTCACAGATCTCTTTTGTTATTCTACTTTTAAGATGAAGCAGGAGGCAGTCTTTTAAGAGGCAGTGGGAGGAGTGGGTTTGATGTGCTGAAAACTACAAGAACTATAATAGAAATATGCATTTATTAATGCATAAAGATTAGAGTAGTTCTATGTGCAAATATAGTGAGGTTGTAGAGGTGAGTGAAAGGTGTTTAATCTTAAAGAATGAAAAAGCTTTAGTACTTAATTAAGAGCATGGGCTCAAGAATCCATGACCTGATTCTGGCTCTGCCATTTACTAACTTTGTAACTTCTGGCAAGTTACATGGTGGTGTTACATGCAGTTGGGTTGCCAGCGACTCATAGCAACTCTAAATCCTGCTCTATCTTATGCCAACCTTATTGTCTCTGACACACCTGCCCCCATTACACCAGTCACTGAATTAATCCATCTCATCGAGGGTCTTCCTCTCTTGCTCTGTCCCTCCACCTCCAAAGCATGATATCCCTCTCCAAGGAATGGTCCCTCCTTGCAACATATCCAAAGTATGTCACACGAAGTTTCAGAATCCTTGCTTCTAAGAAGCAGCTTGGTCTCACCCTCTCTAGGATGAACTTATTTGTTCTTCCAGCTGTCCATGGTATGTTCAGTTCTCTTCTCCAGCACCACAGCTCAAAGGCATCACTTCTCCTTCTATCATCCCTAGTCATTGTCCAGCTTTCTGATGCATAGCAAGTAATTGCAAAGACCATGATACTTAACCTTTTTAGGCTTCCATTTCCTTATATATTTTCTAATTAATTTTAATGATCGTTTACAGAGACTTTGGATTTCCATTCATTCATTGTTGCATTTTTCTCCCCTCTCCCCCCAGTTTGCTCTTCTCTTTGAAAAGTAAAAGAAAAATTCTTTCATTGTTATACAATCCCCTGCCCCTACCCCAGGACACTCCACTATGCAGCCTACATTCTGGACTCTTCTCATGGCCATTTCCTTATTTTATAATGAAAATATTGTAATACACATAGCTCAATATTTTTATGGACTATATTAATATGTAAAAATAACTACAATAGCATTTGGATATATTGGTGGGGATGGAGTGAAGTTTTGGAGTCTATTGTAATTCTTCAAGCAGGGTAAAGTTAAGGCAAATTCAAAATTAGAATGTACAGGCATAAAGATACATTATAGGGAAAATGGCAAGAATATTAGTTCAATATCCTTAAAACATAGGATACAATGTGATGTGGAAATCTGGAGATGAGTTTGGAAAGGCCATTTGCTTTTATGTGCTTGATGCTTTCAAAATGATTTTATGAACAGATGTTTATGCGCATATGCTACTAGCCTTGTTCGGTCTTACTACTTCATATACTATTATAATAGCTTCCTAAGTGGTTTTCCTCACTTTTTTAACCCTTAAACAAGCATCAGATTTTTATATATAGTTTACTTATTTACTAACCATATAGCTAGCTGGTCCAGTACAAATGCCATCTTCTGAAACTACTGTAAACATGGTCATTTTATTTTTTTTTTGCTGTTTATGCAAATGTTTATTTTTTTTTCTTCTATAATTATATTTTATTAATTTTCATAAACATTTA